ATAGCGGGTTAATAAATAAACTAACCTAAATATAATAATTAATAAAAAATACGTAGCGAAGAGTTAGTAAACGTATAAAAACTAGGACTTAAAAATAAAAATACTTACGAATTATAATAAGCTCTTATACTTAGATCTAATTTAAAGTACTCTTTAAGCTCTTAGTATATATAGGGTTAATAATAAGTTTATTTATTATATATTAAGCTGCGTTAGCTTTATTAAGGGTATTTAAAATAATACTACGAGTATACAGTAAGTATTTACTATAAATATTTACTTAGTAGAAGTTAATAAATACGTTTTAGTAGGTTTAGGTAGCTCTATAGAGTTTAATAAGAATTTATAAATACGAAGTTAGTAATTAATATTTTAGTAAACTATTATAGGATAATATATTTTTTTAAAACTATATAATTAATATAAATATTAATATACTTGTTAATATAATAAACGAACTTAGTAATATTATAATAAGTTTAGGTAATATATCCTATATAGAGTACCTTTTAAAAACTAATAAAGCTCTTTTTAAGGAGTACTTATAGTTAATTAGAGCTATAATATAAAGAATTATAATTATAATAAAAATTAATAAATAATAGCTAAGAAGGTTATAAAGAAAAAAAAGAAATAAAAACATAAAAATAAGGATAAAGTTAAAAATATAAAAGTAGTAAAAAAAAATATTTAGTATTAGTATTTACGTAGTAAAAATAGATTTAAAAATAAAAAATAAGGATATTAAAATAATAGCGTTATTTAAGAGAATATATAATTTTAAGTAGTTATTAATAACTTTTACGTAATAGCGGTTAATTACTAAATACCGCTACTAAGTAATAATAAAGTAATTATAATAATAAACTAATAATAAAAGGGGTATATAAAAGTTAGTACTATATAATAAAAATTATACTGCTAGAATTACTTAAAATAGTATATAAAACTATTATTTTAATATAAATAAGAGGGATTATTTATAATAAAAGGGTACATGAAGCGTTATTAATAAGTATTAAGTTTATAATATTATACTTATTAATAAAGTAGGGCTACTAGTTAGTAACGGGTTATAAAAAGGATTATTTATTTTAAGGGCTAAAGCCCGGGGAGAGGGGGTAATTATAAGGGGGCTAATATATAGCTACTTAGCTAGGCCCGACTTAGTTACGAGGCTATAGCTAGGCTCTTAATAGATCTTTAGTAAAGCCTTGCTAAGGTAAAAGGCTAAATTCTTATAATAGCCTTATAAAAATACTAAGCTTAAGTTTATATACTATATTATACCTACTTTTTATATCTTTCTTAGCTATAGTACTTAGCTATACTATTACAAATAAAGCATTATTTTTTATTTATAATTTAGAATATTACTAAAGGACTAAGCATACTACCCTATATTATTATTATATTTAATAAGAAGTAGAAAAAGGGAATATTAAAGTTAAATATTTCTTTTTTATTATAATACTTATCGATAGGCTAACTAAGCCCCTATTACGGGTTAAATATAGGGAATTCGTTAAGTTAATAAGCTTAAACGACTCTAATAACCCTATTTAACCTATATTATACCCCTAATATAGGTATATACTCTTTATAAATATATATAAAATCTTTAGAGAGTATACTCTAGGGTACTAAAATATTACTCTAGGGTACTAGCTCTAGGGTATTAAGAAACTGTCCTAGGGTACCAGCTCTAGGGTACTAAAATTTCACTCTAGGGTACTAAAAATCTATTCTAGGGTACTTCGTTAACTATTTTAATATAGTTTATAAAGTAAAAGAGGGCGTATTAAAAAGGTAAATTTATTTACTTCATTATTTACTTTATTCCTTATATTACATAAGTATATAATATATTATATTAATCTATATTTATTATAAATTAATATATATATTAATTACGTAATCAATATTACTTAAATAAGCTATGGAAAGTACTAGAAGGTATTAAAACACGCTAGAATTTACTCAAGTAGTATTACGTACTACGATTATATATATATATATATACTTATTAATTATATTATAATTAATAAGTAATAAAATATTTTAATAGGAGGTTTTTATATCTATATATAGGTATTTTTTACTTATTTAGACCTTTTAAAAAGTAAGTAACTTATATAGTAATTTAATTATATTACTCTTTTTATTATTTAAACCTCTTTTATATACGCCTTATTATATTTATATATTCTTATTTCTATATAAATATTTACTTACTATATTCTTTTATAAGAATATTCCTTATTACCTCTTTATAGCTTATAGCTGTATTAGAATAAGTAAGAGGGTTTTAAATTTCCTACTTTACGTACTAAGTATAAAACTTATTTCTTAACTACTTACTCTACTCTATTACATATAAAAGAAATATATCCTATAATTACTATACGAAATAAAATAATATACTTCTTTACTAAATTTAAGTTATAAAGCTAGAAGTAAATTAACATTAAGGCTTATATAAGAAATAGGTCGGTACGTTTATCCTCTTATAGCCTTTATAAAGCTTATTAAAATTAATATAAAAAGTAATTAATATACGACCTCCGTTTATAACTATTATAAAGCTCTAAAAAATCTTAATCCTATAAAAATAGGAAGCTTAGTTACTAAGCTTAACTTATTGAACCTATATTTAATAAGATAAGAATTACTAGCGAATTCGGTATAGGTAGCCCTATACTATCCGTACGTTTTAAAGAAATTACTGGGTCCCGATAATAAAGCGATACTTAAGTTTATTTTTAAAATATATATCCCCTTTAAAATAAGAATAAAACTAGGATTATTATAGCGAGGTTACTTGGGGTATAAGGAGTTAATAAACGCTACGTAATATAATATCTTAAGCTTCTCTACCTAATATTTTAAAACCTTAAGAGTAGAATAAGCTTAATAAATTCGACGCTTTAGTATATTAGTTATAGTTCCTATAATACTTTCTAAGTATATATAACTCTATCTACTATTTTTACTAAACGTATATAAAAACTTGCGAGGTATATAATATATACCTCTATACTTCTTAAAATAAGCTATATAAGCCTTTTACTTATATATTTCCGGCAAAGTTTAGCTAGCTATATTACACGAAGGTTTTAAATTAAGGGTTTCTTATTATTAATAGCATCGTTTACCTTCTCGGCCTTAACCAACTCTAAGAGCTATTAGAATAAACTATATTAATAACCTAATCGCTTCGCGTACCTGCCGGTAACTAAATTAAATATATATTATATCCTAGTCTAGGCCGTTGTTAAATAACGCTTCTTTTTTTTATTAAAACTTCTAAAAGTTTTAGATAGTAAGCTAGTAGTAAATGAAATTGTCAACTAGCAACGAAATCTTAGCGGGGAAACTCAGTAGCACTCGTGCACCGCGACGTCGCAACACTTATTTAATGAAGAGATTAGTACCGTCAACTAATAACCTATAGGCTACTGCCCAGTAAGCTAAATTGCGCCCTCTGGCTTCGGACCTCCGTGTCAGTTACAATACTTGGCCGATGCTATCGTCGTCATTTTGCATGTTGTAGCTGTAGGAGGCTAACTAAGCCCCCATCGCGAACGCGAAGATTGTTGGGCTATATGTCTTATCCCTGCGGGCGTAACGCTTTCAGCAACTAAGTACGAAGCAATCTACGATGTACTTTAGACTGGAGGGCGTCCCGGCACGCTTGCCACACGAAGTGTCCCCTATTCATGCTCTCTGGCTAGAGGGCAACGTACAAATTGGAAAGAGGTTTCTGCCCGCGATATATTGCCCCTGTCTGTGCTTGACGATGCGTTCCGTATATCCTGGAGGTTGAGAAGTGCTCAGAAATGCTAGAACTTTGCTCGTGGTAAGTTCTTTGTAAGGCCGTTTGCTGGTATGTGGATATGTTTGGAGCTGCTCGCTGCGTGTTCTTCTTGTAGCTATATGTTCTGGATGTTGACTTGGCGGAGTCGAGTTGCGCTTCCCATTCCTCACAAGCAAAATCAAGTGCGGCACCATAGCTCTTAGTTCCCGGATCGTCAGAACGCGCACAGTAGGACACTTGCCGTGCAAGCCATCGTCGAGCTGCTTCGGACTGTGAAGCGTGAAGGAGGAAGTTAATCGCACGATTCTCTCTTTCTATATGTACCACGATCATCGTGCCATACGCATTTACGACTACTAACCGGAAATAGACGGGAAACGCACTAAGTTCTCCCGCTATCTGATTCGCACGTTTGACTTCACCGTAATAGATGGTAAAGAAGAATAGACTGCTTGCCTCTTTACCTAAAACGTATGTAATATCTAGATACTCATACACTTTGAGAGAATTTGCTCGGCTTTTGATCAATTGCCGTTACATTTGGTTTCAGATGTCCTATCGCTTCCCGAAACTGGTCTTTCCCAGGAGCTTGGTAAATCATCTCTCGCAGTCAGACGTGGACTCCACCCCAGTCTCTAGCGACGGGGATCAGCCGTGAGCGCAACGAAAGACGACTCCGGACACCTGGTTCACGGGCGTGGAGTCCGTAAAGAAGACGAGGAGATCCCCGGGGAGGAGAGTCTAGGATTTCTGCAAGCTATGTATACCTTAGTTTTGGACAATGGAAGATCAAGTCAGTGCCTGGAGGTTGGCCGTCTCGAATCACATGCTTAGTGATGTATTTGTTTTCCCAGTCTACGATTTTCAAATGCAACCTAAACATTTCGGATTCAGTCTATGAGAGGCTGTAAGTATCTGGGCTTCAGCTCTGACATGTTCTAGGGTGGTTCATTGAGGCTCAGTTCAACAAGCTGCCACACTCAAACCCCCGTTATATTGGTCAAGATTGATGGAATGGTCAAATCTCAAATCAACTCAGTATAGCAGTGCCGACTTGACTAGTGAGATAGTGGTGATGGCCTCACTTTTCTTGGTTTGGGTATAGTTTTTGTCAACCCGGTTGCACGTACGGAGGCGCTGAGTCGGACAGATGCAACTGACACCAGATTCGTTGCACTATAGTCTATAGTACAATAGAGTAGTTTTGTTTCTTCTGTTCTTCGTTCGCCAAAAATTGCTCACACTCAGTGAGAAGACTAAACATGTCAGGAGTCGAGTCCGCAAGGATGTTAGACACAGGCTCAGCCTCACAACGGCTTTTAATCTCGTTATATAAAGCACTGATAGATTCGTACTCTCCATTCCAGCAACTCAAAACCACACACCCAAACTCTTTGTCTTCGTCCGTTGAAGGATACTTGTGATTGATAAAACTTCGAACCCTGTCAGGGGCATCAAGCTCGCTCAACGGAATGCGGCCAAAACGAATCGTATAAACGCATGACGCGAAGGCAAATTGCTCGCTGATCGGTCCGGCGTTGGGAAGTTTGAAATATTTGTCGAGCTTGCAAAATGGCTCACTTGCAACAAGAAGCTGTTCGCCAATCTCGACAGACGCGTCGAAGTCGGCAAGACGGACATTATCGTCTGCTGTGAGGAGAATATTGGATGGCCGTAGGTCGCCATGAACACGACCGAGCTCTTCAAGCCATGATAGGGCGCTTGCGATTTGCGTGATCCAGCGTGCCTTGGCATAAGTGCTCGGTGCATTCCGTACTGATTGGTGGTCGATGCGGGCTTGTAGTGTTGTGTCCACCCGCTCCATGAAAAAGCCTTCGGGGATGCAAAGGATGCATCGGACAATATTAGTGTGTGGGTGCTCCATCAGCAGTGTATGCGTCAACTTTTCATTCGCAATTCTCCCGGCGCTTTCTACGATTTCATCTGCTTGGTCGGATGCGGGATTGTTGAAGTTCGTGGGGCATTTAAATACCACATGCTTGCTGATGATGAAAACCTGACCACCGGCTCCTCTGGCGACTGTAGTCGCTAGAGTAGCAGTTAGAAACGGTCTCGGGATATTAACCGTGTAAATAGGTAGATAGGATCCTCTCTCTACTGCTAGGCTAACTAGTAGGTTAATGATCTAGAGTCTCTATGGATCCCTATATACATCAGGATCCCTAAGAAAAGATAGTTCTAGTCTATCAAAGTCTTCCTCTACTGATATATTCTAGCCCGTCTAGCCCTAGGGCTCTCCCTGGATAACGGTGCTGTATTCGTCCACTGGGCCCACTGCTCAACGAGGCCCTGTAGAACGTACTGCATGAATAGGTCAAGCGGGCTTGCCGGCAGCCCCCGTACCTTTTGGGCCCGGACCGGTACGTAAAAGGGCCGAAAGGAACCCTGACGGCCATGCTCGGTAGCTCGAGGCTCGTGGGGCCGGACCGTTGCTACGTCACAGCGTTCTGGCGTACAGTCCGCATTGCAGGCAGCAGTGTGTTCTAGGTGGATCAACTATTATACAGCTGCGCACGGAAGTAACAGAAGCATTAGATGCAATAGAGGCATCAGAATCACCAGAAGACATCACATCATCAAGCAAAATAGTAATAACAGTGGTGATAATAGGCAAAAGGACATAGGGATAAGCGACGTATCGTCTAGTACCCCTTTCAATGCGGGGAAAAATGGGCAAAAGTCCGTATTTCGTGGTCTTGGCGAAAGTGTTGTCCATCCGCACCCGATGGGATAGGAGTAGTGGTGTACAGATTGGCAAACGCCCAGATCTCCATGGCGACGTATTATTTCTGACTTGGTTCAGTGCATACATGAGAAGCATGCAAAGTCACCCGCACATAATCCCGTCATATACAGCATTCATCATCCAACGCTGAAAATGGCTGTCGACGTACTTTTTGGCTTACAAAATAAGGCCATTGCCTTAACAACGGAAGCTGATGAGATTGCTGTCAAATGTGGCTGATGTGATCAGCATTCATAAACATACGTAGCTCTGGCACGGTCAGACCCAGAGAACCTTCGTTGTCTTGACCTTGCATCCTCAGGAAATGCTGCCATCATCACCACCAGATTCCCTGCTTGTGCAGTACGGGCGAACGATTGCCGACGTTTATGACGATCTCTTGCTCTGATCTGCCAGTGCGACATCTCCTCATATGTAACCAACAAATCCACAAAGCGTGCCCCAAACTAGCTCATTTCGACTGAGGCTGGAAGAGGCGAGCAAGTTTGCGAAAAGCAATATTATACAAAGCCCACCGTCGCCATTCCGCCCCGAAAGCGCGTTCTCTCTCGTCAGCACGCTATTGTAGACAGGCCAGACGGTTAGCCTGAGAGATCTGGAGATGAATGGAGATAGTGAGATGCGAGCCAGGATTCAGGGGTAACATTTTACATAAAATGGACAGGCCGATAAAGCGTCACGCATTTACTCGGCCGCGACATCAAAAAAAACGTGTCCCTCACACAGCATCAGTAAACGAGGGTTAGGGTTATAACTATCAGGACCCTCCGGATGCGGGTAAGTAAGGGCTAGGAAGAGAACACAATAAAGGAAGGAGCAGTTCATGCATATATCATGCAAGGAGCAGAAATATAGCTTTGGAATAGATATCAGTAATTCATCCTTTCGACCCTAATAGCAGTCGGCCCCTGAGAGCTTCCCCCGTGTCACGCACCCCTTTGCCAACTGCAGAGCGGATCCAGGGGCGCCGACACCTTTGCCGTGCAGCGGACTCTCTAGACAAGACACCGCAGCCTATGTATCGTCAAGCGTCTATTGGATTCTGGCAGCGCCGAGGTCGATTCCGGAGACAAATCTGGCCGCAAACTGCTATTAAAGGCTGTAGCAAGGAGGATATATAGCTAATCTCTTAAAATTCATCGTAACGTATTTTGCGCAGCATCGAATCATCTTCTAAATCCGTACAGCACTCCTCGGGTTCACGCCCTTCGCTCATAGGAAAGCGTAATGGCATACAACATGCCGTAACGGCCTTTAAGCGCCCATGCTAAGAAGTAGCTCCACAACCCGTTAATAGCCGCTTAATAAAGCTGCTTAGAAGGCACTACTAAAGCGTCCTCCTTATGCACGTACGTTAGCACCCCAATCTATTAACAACCTTATAATTAGTATAAAGCCTATATATAAAGCCGCCTACAAAGCGTTATTATACTCTCCGCCTTAAGTATTAATATTAGCGCTTTTATAAATTAATTACTTTATTAGCTACTTATTACTTCTAAATATAGCGATTTATAGAGTATTATTATAGTTTTTACTTTAGGTATTAACGTTAGTATTATAATTAATTAATAATTTAACTATTTTAATATAATTATTAAAAGAGGTTGCTTATAGAGCACTGCTATGCTCTTTATTATAGAAATTAGTATTTACGTTATTATTAAGTAGTAGCTTTATTACTTACTTATAGCTTGGAAATAAAGCCGCTTATAGCGCGTCCCTATAGTACCTACTTTAAGCATTAATATTAGCTCTATTATTTATTAGTAATTTCGTAAGCTATTCGTAGCTTTAATATAAAGCTATTTATAGAGTATTACTAAACTCTTTACTTTAAGTATTAATATTAGCGCCCTTCTTAATTAAGAGCTTTATTACTTACTTATAGCTGCTATATAATGCTACTTAAAGTACTATTATAGTACTATATTTAAATATTAATATCTATACTATTATTAAGTAGTGTCTTTATTACGTACCTATAGCTTTTAATTAAAGCTACTTAAAGTATTACTATAGTGCCCGCTTTAAGTATTAGCGTTAGTATTATAGTTAAGTAATAGCAACGAGGCTCTTATTACTTTAGGTATTTTAGTTACTTTAATAATAGTTAGAAGCTATTTATAGAGCGCTATTATAATATCCGCTTTTAGTGTTAATATTACTACTACGGCTTATTAGTAATTTTACTAGTTATTTATAACCTCTAATTAGAATTACTTATAAAGCGTTACTATATATTCTACTTTATATATTAATATTAGTACTTTAATTAATTAGAAACTAGGCTATTTATTTATAGCCTCTAAATAAAGCTATTTATAAAGTACTACCGTAATATTACGGCTAGCTAGTTATAATAAGGTATATTAATAAAAGTTAGGGCTACGAAGCTAAATAATAGTATTATAATTATAAATAGCTTCCTAAAGCTATATTTATAAATTATAAAAAAATAAGGCTTTAGTAATTAATTATAATCTTATTAAAAAGTTTTTAATAAAAATAGCTAAAAATAATTATAAAATTTAATACTAAGTTAATTATTAAAAAGTTATAAAAATTTATCCTCAAGCTTAGCTCGAGTTTATTTTATATATAAATCCTATATATTATTTAAATAGTTCTTTTATAATTAGAACTAATATTATAATATTAATTTTATAAAAGTAGACTATTTTTATTTTATTAGTCCTATTTATAAACCGCTTATTATCTATTAGTCCTTTTTATTATTATTTATAATTCTTTTATTTTATTAAATAACTTTTATATTAGTATCCTTATATATATATAGTATATAATAATTATTATAAGCTTATGGGGTAGGCCCTAGTTTTAGTTATATATATTAAGTTATAATATTAGTTCTTTTTTAAAAATTTAGTCTTATAAACTTATAAATAAGTATTTATAGCCTAGGTTAGGCTAGTTAAGTTATTTATCTATTTTATTATTTATAATATTAATATTTATAGCACGGTAGCTTTAAAGAGGTAATAAGGAATATTCTTATAAAAGAATATAATAAGTAAATATTTATATAGAAGCAAGAATATATAAATATAAGGGTAATAAGCGTATATAAAAGTTTAGGTAGTAAAGAGAGTAATATAGTTAAATTACTATATAAGAAGTTACTTGCTTAATAAAAGGTCTAAGTAGGTAAAAAGACGCCTATATATAAGCATAAAACCTCCTACTAAAATATTCTACTACTTATTAATTATGATATAATTAATAAGTATATACGTAAGTATATACGTAATCATAGTACGTAATACTACTTCGAGTAAATTCTAGCGTATTCCAATACCTTCCAGCATATTCCATAGCTTATATAAGCAATATTAATTACGTAAGCAATATATATATATTAGTCTATAATAAATATAGATTAATATAATATATGCTTACGTAATATAAGACAAATAATAAAGGAAATACATTTACCTTTTTAACAAAAGAACGTAGTAGTAACCGTATGTGGCTAAGATTATATAAATAAAGTAATCGAATAGTATAGACCTAGTAGTTTAGGTATTAGAAATATAGTCTATTTATATAGACTTTATTAGGTTATTTGGCTTAAGACTATTTATTAGTTACCCTTTGTTGCTAATGCCTTAGCAACCCTGTTCACCTTTAGTTATACCGTATTAACTGTTACGTTACGATTTCCTCTTGACCGGAAGAGCTCTTGCATCCTCAGCGGGCGAGACAGTTGTGCGCTCCCAGGTTGGGTCTTTTAATGGCTTAATGGCGAATGCGGAGATAGAGTTTTGTTAAGATATATTAAATCCTTAAAGTTGAGACACTAGAAAGGCCTGTCTTCACTGCCGAGCACTACGGGCAAACACTCTCGACGAATACGCTTCCGTCGTTTGTCTTCAGGAAGCTCAGATACACTCATCAAAGTCTGTCAACTTCCCTCTCGCCTAATTTTTCTTGGCATCTGCTGTTAGTGAATGAATGAGCCTACCACCAAGTTACTAACAGCCGAAAACTCTTCACCTCTCCTTGCCGAAGCCCGCATCCGCGATGGCCTCACAGCCGCCGTCGGGCACCGGACTGATGTCTGCCGACCGAGCCGACCCCGAACCAGGCTCCGGGACACCTCCGGAGCCGAACCCCGCCTCAAGAGCTAAGCGACGCCGCGGCGACGAGGCACAGCCGACTCGGCCCAGCCTAACGGGAAGCCAGCTTGATGCCACCACCGACGCGCCTGCCTCGGCCGAGGGGCCCGCAACCTCTACAGCATCTGCTCCGACCGGGTCTGCCACAGGGTCCGTCTTGGCAGCCCTTGCAGAAGGGGCTAGACAGTACGAGGCACGGAAAGACGTCTTTCTGACCATTGCACAGTCCGTCGACAGCGTTGTCGCCAGCTTTGGCGGTTCTAGAAAGCAGATCGCGAAAGAAGCCACATGCTATGTCATCCAAGCCCTCAAGAGACTGATCAATCACGAGACAAGCCCAATAGCGGCCCGGAGCTGGGCGGCTGTCGCCGCACCAATGGCGAACGCGCACCACTACTCTTGCAACACCACTGCGGCGACCCGGAGCGGCCAGACCTGCCAGAGCTCTGCCCGCCCGAAGGCCCCACTCCCCGCTCAGGATCAGCCGCAGGCGCAGCCGAAGGAAGAGTACTGGACGAGCAATAGCATGAGCTGCACCTTTTCTCGCCCTTATAATTTTATAAGCAAGCTGTTTCTATCACTACTTTATAGTCCAAATATAGCAACACAAGTCTTGCGATGGCTGCCAAAAACAATAAGCATCATCTCTGCGACGGTAACAATACGTCGAGGAGACTAAGCCACCTCCGATTCCTGCACGAGCTCGTGGATAGAACTGGCTTCACCAGAAAAAACAGGGGCAGACCTTCTCGATTCATTTTACAGATATATCTGTAGAGGGCAGGTTCATACGGAAAATGCGATATGTGAGACGCATTGCTTGACCAGACTATTATGTGCGGTAGAATAAAGATCTATTTGTTTAAGTGTTCTGCCCTTGCTGATCGCTTGGGCGGTTTTCGATATCTTTACACAGGATTAACACCCAGTAGCAGTGGATACTCTCACTGTCTTCATACACTATCTTTGTGGATTTTCCACCTTTTCAACTTTCCCTCCTGCAAAGTTTACAATCGCGAATCAATCGACGGTGATGAATAAAGATCTATTTTTTTTTATAAAAAAAATAAAAATGAAGCGATTTGTTGATTGTAAAACGGCTTTAAACAGAAATAATATTCACTCTTATATAAAAGTATGAAAATCCATTGTGAAAAGCGATCTGAATGCAAGCGCCAGTCGAGCATCCTTAGCAAAATAGCTTAACGTTTTTTTGCAGAGAGCTTTTCGGACTTGGGTCGAGAAACACGTTCACGTGAAGAACCTTGCGCCACGTGTCCCTTGTGTCGGAAGCCCGCCATTGCCTGCCGGCCAAGTGATGCACCTGAGAAGAAAGCCAGCGGATCACCTCTTGGGATGCATCGGGGTCTCTGATTAGAATCATCCATGAGCTCGGTATTGGAATTCCTGGTTCAAGGAGTCGATCGGATCCAACTTTGCGAAAACGGCCGGCTCCATTTTCAGGGAGAAGATTGGGCCAGATCTAGCGTTCTTTGGTTGAAAGAATGAAGCCGTGAAAGACATGCTGCCCCTGGGGCGACTCAAAGCCACTAAGACCTGCAGTCCAAGCACTGATGGTTGGTTTTTCAGGGGAAACCTTCCCATTGAATGAATGATGACCTTGTCGGTGACGGTTGATGGTGGATCATATCCTTTCTAGGTTTCATCGTAAGACTAGACTATCTCGTCAATATCTATACCACCGCGAAGCGCGATACGAGTAATCTCCTCCCCAACAGCGAAAAGAGCCCGCGTATCGTCAGCGAAAAAGCTTGGCAGTGATAAACATTCTGAACTAGCTTCGTACTCTACGACTACAAGACAATCAGGCCATGTGGCTTGTTTCATTTCCTTAGCGTGTCAGTATGCCTCAGATGCCTGATTAAACTTTCTCTTATCGTCCAATATGTTGGCAAAGGTTTTTCGCTAACTTAGGATCGACAGGGATTAGCTAAACACAAGATGATGTAATATCGGCCACCCGCGCCACCTGGGTCGGGAGGCAAGAAGTCGACCCAAGAAACTTTTACGTCTGCGCCTCCGCCCCTTTAAAGTAATGGGCTAAGCGAAAAAAATCCACACAATTACATATCGAATAGTCACACTATTGCAGCGTCTACTCAACGCTGTAAACACTGTTATTTTGAGATAAACCTCGAGATCTCAGGTTTGTTGGATAACCTCATCTTCATCCAGCCAAGAAACTTTTACAATCGCCAAAAGATAGCCCATTCTAATCTTTTTCCATTCCAGTTTTGCGGAGTTCATACTCAAAGCCACTAGCGTGTATGGGATGAGTCGGTTCTCAATTGCCAACACCCCACTCAATTCCACACCTTGTGCATTGCGTGGACAGCCGGCCACAGTTTTGGCTTCGGAATGAGGTTGGCCCGGCTGGCGGGCTAGAGCTAGCGCCTCAGTCTTGGGATGTGGCGCGCGACTAGTGCCAATGCATGCGGGCGCTCAAATTATCAGAGAATGGTTTCAAGCTACTGCAGCGATGCAGCTAGTTGTGTTAATGTGTGAAGAAGAGCAATGCTGCAGAACCACGGGATTTCCAACGGAGACCCCGCTCCTTTGGGCAGATCATGTTGAATACTTGAGCTTGCCAGGCCTACAAAAGCACTTGATATATATTCTGTTTTCTGTCTCCATTAAACTTCTCTCGTAGGACAATCTGCCTCTTTTAAGATCTCCAAGTTCATCACTACCAGAAAGCCGACTTTTACGGTTTGACCGAGACGATGAAGTTGATTCTTCTGGGATTCCGTATCTTGGCGGCCATTGCGGTGTTAGTGGGGGCAGAGTCAATTTTCGACACAAATGCGACGGCAATCGTTCAGTGGCTTATTACAACACCAACGTGCTCAGTATGTGTTGATCAGTATCTCCTCGTCTTACCAAACGTATCTTATCGGGGACATATCCAAACCGATACAGGTTACGTCCTACTAGAACATATACTCATACAGATCATTCAAGATGCCATGCTTCTCCGAGGTACTATCATCAGGACGCTGCCAGCTGAGCGGGCTTGCTAAATGCGCCTGTACAAACGACGACCTTCAGCTACGAGTCTCTACATGTGTACAATTATCCTGCGACTTCACTGATCAAGTTAGTAAGTATATCCTATTAACGTGTGATATTCCTAGGCTCTATACTGAGGTTACTTGATTCAGATGCGTTACGAAAATCACAAGTCCTGTGCTACGAATACCCAACTACTTCTCGGAGAGGTAGCGCCCCGATATTCGCCCTCGCGCTACCAATTATCACGTTGATCATCGTATTATTAAGATGTTTTGCCTCATGGACAATTGCACGTAAGCTGTGGTTGGATGACTATGTTACTCTAGTAGCTTTGGTATGCTCATTAACGCTCTCATACCGCCACTTTTTCTCGGCGCTAAAGGTTTTAGGGACTACTTATTATTTCCTCGGTATGCGGAGCAATTGGTAAGAAGCATGCGGTCTCGCTATAGCATAGAAGCTTTATACTGATTTTGTCCTGTAGCCAATTCCCTAGGCTTCGGCAAGCACTACTGGGCCGTCAACCCCGATTCGGCCAAGACGCTTCTACAGGTAATGAACTTTCACATAGCTGAGTCTTGACGCGCACCTAACCAATTCACTAGGTGTTCTACGCCCTACAAATTATGTATAACCTCGTAATGTGAGTTTTACTCCGCAGCGCTGCCTGCACTTTCTAACTGAATTTGACCAGTATCACCGCAAAAATTGCAATCTGCTGCTTCTACCGTCGAATATTCCCTAATAGGTGGTTACAAGTGGCTACAAAAGCCGCTATTATCCTGATTGTTGTGCATGGGCTTATCTTTTTCTTCCTGATCGTATTCCAATGTATACCGCTAGCTATGATCTGGAATAAGTCAGTTAAGGGGCGTTGCCTTAATATTACGGCCATTGGGTATACGGCAGCTATAATAGGTATTATGGAGGATATAGTGCTGCTTATTATGCCGATCCCGATATTATTACAACTACAACTTGGACTTAAGAAGAAGCTTGGCTTGGTCTTCATGTTCAGTCTTGGCTCATTGTAAGGAGCACAGCCTCTCTATCGATTTAATAGAAGATGCTAATGGGACACTCAGCGGGTGTATAACCAGTATCGTTCGACTAAAGTATTTGGTCTCCTTTGCGAACACCTTTGATCCAACATGTAAGTTATTCCTTCAAGGGAGGAGGACGCCTACCTGCAACAGACAACGGGTGCTAACATTCCACTTGACAGGGGACAACACAGACATCATCAGCTGGAGTAGTGTGGAGGTCAACGTGGCTATCGTGTGCGGCAGCTTGCCGTTGCTTCGGCCCGTGTTCAAGTACTTGTCAAATCCCTTCAAAGCAGTCAAGGTGTCAAGCAGTGAAAGCATCTACTCCTTGCAGCGGAGAAGGGGACTGAATTCACCTGAAGTGTGATGTTTAAGGCATCCACTATAGGTGGGAAGGTTTTGCTATCGAGGAAGACGCGAATTTCGCGTCAGATGTGTAATCTTTCAAGCATCACCTACTATATCGGTTTTCTCTCGTGTACGACTATAACACTGTTTACTTAGTATTCGCAGCCTCAACTTCTACTAACGTACTCACTACGACTAGCTAGCCGTAACACAAGTTAGAGCCTATTAAGTTATTTATTTATCTATCTTTCTATAATACTAATCTTATATTAGGTTACGTAAAAAAATTAAGTTTAAAAACGAAATTTAAAAACATAAAAATAAAAAATCGTAAGCACCTCGCGCTTTTAAATTTATTAAAGCTCGTTTAATAGTTACTAATATACTTTATACTCGCTATTTTTAAATAAAAGTCCCGTATATTACGGCTAGCTAGTCGTAATAAATATATTAATAAAAGTTAAGGCTACGAATACTAAGTAAATAATATTATAATTATAAATAACTTCCCTAAAACTATATCTATAAATCGTAAAATAAATAAGGTTTTAGTAATTAATTATAATTTTATTAAAAGGGTTCTTAATAAAAATAGTTAAAAACGATTATAAAATCTAATACTAAGTTAATTATTAAAAAGCTATAAAGTTTATCCTTAAGCCTAGCTTAAGTTTATATTATATATAAGTCTCGTTCTTAAATATATCCTTTATAATATTATTATTTATAATTAAACTATTTATTAAATAGTTATTTATCCTATTATATATAATTATCCGTTTTATTTTTTATAAATATTTATTTTTATTTTTATTATATAATCGTAGTTACGTAACTTATTTATAGTTTTTCTATTTAAAGAGGAATTACCTAAGTTTATACTCTTATATATATAATATAATAGTTATTATAGGTTTTATAAAGTAAGCCCTAGTTTTTATTATACGTATTAAGTTATAATATTAGCTCTTTTTTAAAAATCTAGTCCCTAGGCTTATAAATAAGTTACTCGTTTTTAAGTTAGGAAATTATTAAATCTATTTTTATTAAAAATATATTAATACGATATTAAGTTAAATTAAAAATTAAAATCTTAAATAGTTATTTCTCGTTATTAATTACTACGTATTATTCGTTTTTAATAAAAGTATAAAAATAATACCTTATTTAAATTATTATTTACGTAGTATTTAGTATTTAGTTCTTTTAATTTTAAATTATAGTATATATTATTAGCTAAGTATATTATATAATGCTTTTAATACTATTTATACTCGTAAATATTTATTATTTTTATATTTATTATTTAATTAATAATATAATTAATTATTTAGTAATAAAATCTAATTAATTAGATCGTAAAAAATAAGTAGAGGAGTTACGTTTTTAAAAAGAGTTATAGAGTTATAAAAAAGCTAATATTTATTAAAAGCTTAAATAAAATTAAATAAGTTGTTATTTAAATTAGAGCGTTTTATATTTAGAAATGAATAGTTTTAAAAAAAGTTATATTATATTAAATAAGTTTTTAAGGATATTAAAGAGGCTTTATTAATAGCTCGTAAAATATAAACTAATAGTATTTTTAAAGTTATTAATTAGGATACTATAATAATTAGGAGTTTTAAGTTTAATTTTAATTTTAATACTTTTTAAAAGTTATTAAAAGTTCTAAAAGTTCGTAATAAGTTCTTATATATTTTCTTTATATTTATAGTTTTTATTTAATTAGGAATTCTCGTATTTCGTTCTTAACTTTATAATTAATAATTCGTTCGATTTTATATTTTAGTTTATTAAGTTTTATAATAATATAATCTTTTATATATAAACCTTTAAGTACTAGTTCGAGAAATAAAATATAAAAACTAAATAATATTTTATTATATCTAAAAATCTTAACTTATAATTAACGTTTAAAACTTTTAAATAATTTCAAAAGTTTAAGTTTTTATAATTTAATTTATTATTTAGTTATTTTATTTTAATATTGTAGTAAAAGAAATAAGTACTATCTCCTTTTTCTAAGGTTAGTCCTTTAATCCTTAATCTATTTATATTCTTTTTATATATTAATATATAAACTTAAAATTTAAAAATATTTTTTTAGATTTTTAAGTTTTATTATATTTATTACTATTTTAATAGCTTATAGTCCTTATCGTACTTCTCTATATATTATTAATTAATATTTATAATTTAAATAGAACGAGGATTCTTTTATATTTTTATTAATTATATTATTATATATAAATTAGGCTATTAATAATAATATAACCTAGTTATTCTAATTATAGTTTATATAATAACGGAGGTATGTTTTAAAATCTAGTTAATCCTTTTATTTAACTATCGGTTTATAAGTAAAAAAATTAATAATTTATAATTTATACTAAATTACGAGATTAAAAATCTTTAAAATTTTAAAATAAATAAAAAGCTTTTATTAAAAATAATTTCTTTCGGTTTATTATAATTAGTAATAACGACTTTAAAAAATATATACTAATTCTTTTACGTTACTAGCTTTTTATAAAATATAAAGTAAGCGAACTTAGTAAGTTAATTAACTATAACTAAGATATTATTATACTTTATATTTATAAATAGTTCTTTTAATTTTAGTAATTTAATAATAAAATCTTATAAAATTAATTATTATATTTCTATAAATAGTTATAATAGTTATAACTTATTATAAAGTTTATATAAGCTATTTTTATTTTTTTATAAGTTGCGCAATCCTTAATTATTTTTATAATTTCTATATATAATAAATTTATTATAATATTAACGAATCCGTTTTTATATTTTAATAACTCCTTAGTAACCGTATATAGGTATATTATAAATTTTTATAATAAGCTTAGGGATTATTTTTTTTAAGTTAGTATTAATCTTTTTAGTTATTATAAAAAGCTTTATAGTTAGTATAAGGCTGTCCTTTTTTTTTAAAAATAACTTATATTTTCTCGGGACTATAACTTCGTAATTAGGTTTTTATTAAGAGCGTTTATTTTATTATTTTCTAAACCTTTTTAATAAATAATTTAAAATTATATTTAAATAAGAACTTGCTCTATTTAATTTATTATTTATTTAAGTTCTTATTTATTATAAAGTTCATGAGTTTTTATAATCTATATAAATTATAATTTTATACTTAGTTCTAGATAATTATAGTTTTTATTTTTAAAATATTTCGATAATAGTTATTAGTTCTTTATCATAAATTTACTAATTTAATTCTACTCCGTAAAATACTTTAAAATAAAAATAATATAAGTAAAGTTTTTTTATTTATTTTATTATCTTAAGACCGCTCTTATAATAAAATCTAAGGTATTAATCTTAATTTTAAAAGTTTTAAAAGTTTAGAATTATAATAATTAGTTTAAAAATAACTATATTCTTAATTTCAATAAATATTTTTTATACTTTAAATCCTAAATAAATAAGGTATCCTTTTATATTAAGTTATTAAAAGTTTAATAATATTAATATAGTCCTAAGAATTATTAATAAAAGTTAATAAATCTTAAGAATTTTTATATATCCTTAACGTTCTATAGTATAGGCTAGTCCCTAATTATTTCTATTTTTAATATTTATATATAGATTTATTTTAATATAATAATATATTTAAGGAAATTTATTTTTATATATAAAACTTATATTTAGAGGGTTTAGTATATAACTTAGCGTCCTAGAGTTTTAAAATATTATATAAATATATTTTTATATATCTTAAGGTTAGGAGAGAAGATAAGAATATTATTAATAATATAAATAATAATAAAAATATTAATAAACTCTTAGAATATATAGTTAATTATTATTTAAAAGTTATTAGAGTATTAATAAGTTTAAAGGGTATAATAAGATATTTAAAAAGTCTTTTATAAGTTTAAAATGCTATTTTTATTTATATTTTTCTTTAATTCGAATCTAATTAAATACTTCTTTAAAGTTTATTATAGTAAACTAATTAGCTTTATATAATAGATCTCTAAGCTCGGTAATAAGTAATAAGGGATAATAATTTTTTATAATTTCGTTAAGTTTTTATAATTAATAGTAAGTTTTAATTTTCCTCTTTTTTAATATAAAGAATAAAAGAAATTTTATAAAAAATTTGATAGTTAAATATATCCTTTTAAACTTCTTATTAATATATTTGTTAAAGTATTTTTATTCTTTTTAGTTTATTAAGTATATTAAATAGAACGTAAGTTATACTCTTTTTTAAGTTTGATTTTTATATTTTAGCTACTATATTCTAATAATCCTATTTTTTAAGTTTTATAAATAGTTTTAAATATATATAGTACTCCTTAGGTATAGTTTAGAATTATTATGATTTTTAATTATTGTTATTATATATAAACGCCTTATAGCTTTTACTATTTTAATAAAAGCTATATATTATATTTATTTTTATTTTTAGGTTATTAAAAATCTATTTAAATCCTTTTTTTTTAAGTTGTTTAGTAACTAGACTTTCTTATAGGACCTAGCTAGTAGTTTAATCTATTTATAAGTTATGCTTTTATAATTATAAAATTCTTAAAATAACGTTAAGGTCTCTAATCTTTGTAATATTATATTATAGTTATTTTTATTAATTATTAATATATATTAAAAGGTATATGGTCTTCTAATTAATATATTTAGTATTATAATTAACTTTTTCTTTTTTATTATTTATAATAAATATAAATTATCCTTTTATATTTATAATAGGTCGAGCTTATTTACTATTCTTAGTAATATAAAGCTTTTTATACGCTACTATTAATTATAGTGCGTAGTTTATATTTATATATTTTAAGCTTAATTTATAAATATACGTTATTATATTACTTAATTATATATAAGAACTTTCTTTTAGTTTTTATTTTTCGTTATTCTTTTATAATTAACTTAATTAATTTTTAAAATCTATTCCTTAGTTATACTTCTTATTTAATTTATTTTTCTCGTTCTTTTAAGCTCGTAATTTAAGAATATAATAAATTTAGTAATAGTTATACTTATATTCATCCTATTTTATATAATTATTATTCTAGTATTATATAAAGAAATATAAGTCTAATTTAAATATTAGTTTATTAAGTTTATTAAAATATATAAGTATTTAGTTTAGTAGTTAATTATTAATATAAATATCCTTAATAAGTAGATTACTTCTTTAAGGATAAAAGTAATTATTTTTTTAATAAGAGATACTAAAAGTACTTATTATTAAAATATTCTACTTAAAATAATTCTTTATAAAATACGTCCTTAATATTAAATAAAAGCTATCTCCTTTAATTAGTAGTATTATAAATACTTTTTAAATTAATTAGTTTTATAAAACTATATTATCTAATTATTTTTATATAAGTTAATATTCTTATATTATAATTTTTAGGTTCCTTATTAAAACTAATATTATTTATATTAAAATAAAATCTATAATTAATTTCTATTTAAATACGTTATTAAGTAACGTTATAAAGTTTATCCGAGTTATAAAATAATTTTTATTAAAAATATAATTATTAGAACTAATCTTAAGTTTGTTTTTCTTAAGTTAAAAGTCTATTTTTATTTTTAATTTTAAAATTGAGGTTAAGCTTTTAATTATTTTGATTTTATTTTTATATTTTAGGTTTTTAAACTATTCCTTAATTTTATAAATAAACTTTTTATTTCTATTATTTCGTCTTATTATATAAATAAATTTAGTTAGTAATTATATTTCTTATACTAAGATTTTTTTAGTTAGTATAAAGATTCTTCGTTCTTAGTAATTATCTTTTATTAAAGTTTTCTTCTTATTATTATAATATTTAAGCTCGTCCGGGTTAATTACTAAATTATACTTAGATAGTTTTATAAGTTATTAATAAAGTTTAAATATATTTTTATTACGTTTTTGAGATTATTTATAGTATTTTATTTTTAATTATAATAAAAGTCTTTATTTTTAAAAATAATTTAAGGTATTACCTATTTATTATTATTTTAATAAATAAAGTAGTTATTATTATAATAAGTTATTTATAAAAGTTATTTATAGAAGACTTCCTTATTAATAATATTAGTTCGCTTTTTTAAAATAAGTTAATATTAAATATATTTAGGTTATTAGTAATTTTTAGTTATATATCTTAGTTTATTGTAATTATAATACTTAAAATCTTTTTCTAGCGGGGTTATTTTTTTAATAATACTAAAGTTTATAAGTTTGCTATAATAATTAGTAGTAGTAATTATTAATTTATACTTATACTTATTATTAAGCTTAGGGCGGTTATTTTATACGTTTTACCCTTTATATTTAAAGTATTATTTATAAAATCTATTATTAATCTTAATAGTTATATTAATATAATTATAAAATTCGTTTAGTTAGTCTTAATAAGAGAGTTTATTTTTAACTTCCTATTTTAAACTATAATAAAAAGCTATTATAAATACTTTACTACTTTAATAAAATTTAAAAATAACTTATTAGAATTCTAAAGTATACTTATTAACTAAGCCCTTTTAAATAAGGGTTATAAGTCTTTATTTAGTAATTCGTTCTTTATTTAGGTTATTAAAAGTTTTTTAAGTCTTTTTAAACTTATTATAGTTATTAAAAATCTTTTAATATTTATTTCTTATATTCTATATTTATTTTCGAAATAATTTTTATAAAAGTTCGAACTAAATAAGAGTATCCTTTTTAAAAAGGATATTATATAATAAACCTTATTTATTTTAATAATAAAAGAAAATTTATAATAGCATAAATAAGCTTTAGTTTAAATAAAGAATCCTTAGAGCGTATTTAGGGACCCGTTATAAAGTTCTAATTTAAAATATTTAGCTCTAAGTATTAAAAGGGTCGGGTACTAAGAATTAAGTATAAAGTTACTTATTTTTATTTTTAAATTTAAATATTATATTATATAATTATTATATAATAAGTATAACTACTTAAATAGGTCGCACTACTTAAATAGGTCGCGTAATATTATTATTATTAATAATTAATATATTTATATTATTTAGTTAGTTTTTATAAAATAAACTTATTAAATAAGAATAATTAAAGTATTATAACTAGCTAATTATAATAAGTATATTAATAAAAATTAAGGTTATAAATATTAAATAAATAGTATCGTAATCGTAAATAATTTTTTAAAACTATATTTATAAGTTATAAAATAAGTAAAGTTTTAATAATTAGTTATAGTTTTATTAAAAGGGTTCTTAGTAAAGATAATTAAAAACGATTATAAGATTTAATACTAAGTTAATTATTAAAGAAGTTATAAAAGTTTATTTTTAAGTTTAGTTTAAGTTTATATTATATATAAGTTTTATTTTTAAATATGTTTTTATAATATTATTATTTATAATTACTTAATTATTTATTAAACGGTTATTTATTTTATTTATATATAATCGTCTATTTTACTTTTTATAAATATTTATTCTTTATTTTATTATATAATCGTAGTTATATAATTTATTTATAGTTCTTTTGTCCTAAGAGGAGTTACCCTAAGTTCGTATTTTTATATATATAGTATAGTAGCCGCTATAGGTCCTGTGGGGCAGGCCCTGGCCTTTATCATGCGTATTAGGTTATAATACCGTATTAATATAGCGAAGGTTTTTCTTATTATTAGACCTGCTGGAATAACAATAACTGGGACTAAATGTACGATACCTCAGGAGTGACTGAACCTCTGTTCTATTACGTGGATGTTCCGACACGTGCTTGTTGAAGGTCGAAGAGAAGAACCTTAAAGAAGTAAGAATGTGGCTTTATTTATAGGAGGGTAGCTTGCTCACGTTTGGTTAGAGTGCATAGTCTGAACAGCTAACTTTATTTTATTTGCGGTCTAACTTAGTTGCTGTAAACTTTCTTGAACTATTTATAATTAGATAGTATTAGATTAAATAAGTTTGCAAGGCTCACTGGAACTGAGGATAGGTTTCTCGGCCTCAACATTGTGTGGTCCAATTTGACGCAGAATATCCCTTGCATACGCTGCAGCCATTATGGCCGTAAAGCCTTGCTACTCTTTACTTTTGTGAGAGTTAGAGTAGTCGCAGATACCCCGGTTGACTAGACATGGGAAGTTGTTTATCAGACCGGCAGCCTCCATCTCGAAGCAGAGAACATCCCTTTCAGCAGCCAGTTCGTCCCGCTTATGCGCATCCTTCATCAGATGATTCCCGCTAGCGATCAAGCCGTAGTGGATGGCAGGGTCGTTATCTTCTTCGTCACGTTCATGTCGGGCTGTAAGGTAAGCGGCATTATCGCCACATACGATTTCATAGCCGTCAGGTGAATCCGAAGGATGTACAACGTAACGCTTGTATAATCTGTCGCTTATTAAACCAGGTCGTGTATACTTCTTCCGCTTCTTGATCTTCTCTAACTTCGCATTTACGGTATTGATAAGCTAGTGGCCCTTTATTTCATACGTAGCCCTGAGGTTGGCAAGAGCCGTTCGCAGCAGCACTGGTGGCTAGTTTAAAAACCCGGTCTCCTAGAACGAGCTATTCTGGATGGTTTTGCTGAAGTCGTACTGGAATACCCCGCTATATCCGCCACCTGGTTTGCTGATGATAATATTACCGAGTCGAATGTCATGCTTTGGGCTAGGCGCGCCGCCTCTAATACCGACTATTAACCCGATGCGTACGTTCGGGAAGCTATGGAGCATGTCTTTGGTTACCGTTGCCGCTGAAGTCGTGCTATATTTACCATCGGGCAAGACGGTAATGACGATATTGTGGCTGCCGATCCTGCCCAGAACGTAGCTGTTGTTATCGTGCTGGGCGACTTGTCGCGGGCCTGCATGTTCCTCGTCGAGGAAAGCCCGGGCCGCAACAGACTCTATCATAATGGCACATATCTAACCGACTGTATAGGCTTGGGGTTCAGATATAGCTAGTGAAGCAGATAAATGTTAAAAACAGGAGAGTGCTTGTAATATGATAAGACGTTAGGACAGGTTAAGGGAAGTTAGGTTAATACTCGTTACGGGTGGCTTCTTCTTTTTATGAGACCCAAAATCAGGCTGGTTAGCACTAGTTAGTAAGACAGGACCATGGTGCTCGGGTGCTGTGCTACTAATTAATTGGCAAAGAATATACTGACTATGCTGACTATGCCTCTTGAAAAAATGGCAAGAACTAATCGAGGTATCCTATAATATGTATGCCTGGAGCGGTGTGACGGCGGCTTTTTGGTGCAGGGTATAGCTATGTCGTTGTTGGCGCGTCGAGCGATGTTGGTGGTGTAAAGTGGAAGAAGATGACGAGCGCCTGCTACTCACAATTGGGCAGAAGCGTGGTCGGTGGTAGATGGATTGCCTTGTCATCCCGATCCTAAGACAGAGATTGGGCTCTGTGATGTCTGGCAGGTTGTTGATTGGTGAGTCGAAGGCGATTAGATAACACGGAGCGGATGTCGTGTATTCAGAAATATTATGGATCGGACGGTCCTGTCCTTCGAGGTGAGCTTTTGGCCTGTGCGCCGACATCGCACCTCCATAGTGCTTCACTGGACCGTCCCGTTCATCTAGGTCTAATAATCAGATTAAGCTTATTTTGACGGAGCGTGAAAAGGTATGGCTCGCGACGGCGCGTCGAATGGCCTTGGTGACCAGGCTCCCTTCAGTACGCATTGGGACCCGCAGAATCCTATAGAACCCTGTAGTTTCACTTCAGAAAGGGCCACGTGTTTTCCTCCCCACAGCCCCCGACAAGCGACAAGCGACAATGCACTGCTGGAACCATCCCGCCTCAACCTAGCTCATTTCGTTCACAAGTTTGAGAGCTTTCCTGGAAAGCGCTTCGACGCGCCGCAATACGCGCGCTACGGCGGAGCCTCTATAGCATTGCCTGGACGTTATCCTCCTTATATAAACTACTAGTAGTAAGAATATTAGGCTATATATTTTAGGCCGTATTTTAATCTATTACTATACTAGGTTTAGGTTACGTCTCTATAATTATTATTAAAAGTTTTATATTAGCTAACCTCCTTTTACAAAAATTAAATATTACTCTCTTTTAAATACGTCTTTTTAGGGGCTCTTTATTACTTATAAAAAAAAATTTTATCCTTTTTTTATTATTTTTAGAGTAATTTATTATAAAAGGGTTTATTTTAGCTTCGATTAAAAGAACTTATTTTAAAACTTATTATACGAGATTACGATACTAAGCAGTATTTTTTTTAGTACCCGCGTAGCTAAATATAGCCCGAACGAATTATATAATAAGGAACGACTCGCTTCGGGCCTGCTCTAATCGTTACCTAGCAGCAAGTAACTTCTCCGTACTATATTTCATTATCAATATCCGCTTCTTTTTAGGGATACGTAAACACTTCGGGTCCTCCTAGGTTAATACGTATATTTATTTTACTTTAGACTCTGCCCTTTTATAAGCCTTCCTAGCTTTATTCTTTTCTTTCTTACGCTCTATCCCTAATATAGCTATCCGTACGAACTCTTTTATTTCGCAAGGTTTAAGAATTTTTTTTTAATAAATTTTTATTATAGCTTATTATACTCTAGCTCTAATCGTTTAATATTATTAATATATTTATTAAGCTATTAATATTCGTAGTTAAGGTACTCGATTTATATTATTAGCCTATCCTATTTAGTAAGGTCTTTATTAAAATAGAAGTACTAAGTAAAGCTATAATTAATAAGGCACCGTTTTATTATATTAATATAGTTACAACCTTTAATAATCGTATTCTTTATAAAAGCGTCGCTATCGCTTATATAATAATTATTTTAAATCCTATTCTAACTTAAAATAGGATAAATTAGCTTTAATATTAGCTAGAACTTCTATACCTAGTTCCTTTAAATAATTTTTTTATTTACCTTTTTATTACTTAATATAAATTAAAAATTACTATCCGTATTTTTAAAATTTTAATTATTATTTTATTACTTACGGAAATCTTATTATTTTTATATTTATTTTAAAATATATCCTTAGCTTATACTTAGTTAAGAGATTTTTATTAAAGCCGAAGTAACTTAGTATAGTTACTTAGTTATTTATATATATTTTAAATAAGGTTAATAAAATATAATAAGTAGCCGCCGTTTTAAATAAGTTCGTAAGAAGTCTCGATTTCGTATTTATTATTAAGTTATAAAGTAATATCGGAGACTTAAAATAAGCTATAATTCTAATTCGTTATTATAATAAAAAGCTTTTTAAGTAATACTTAACATAAGCGTATATTAAAGTTATCTAAGTAACTAAAAATACTATAAGTATTACGGCTAGCTAATCGTAATAAGTATATTAATAGAAGTTAAGGTTATAAATACTAAGTAAATAGTATCGAAGTTATAAATAACTTTTTAAAGCTATATTTATAAATTGTAAAATAAATAAGGTTTTATAATTAATTATAGTCTTATTAAAAAGTACTTAGTAAAAATAACTAAAAGCGATCGTAAAATTTAATATTAAGTTAATTACTAAAGAAATTATAAGAGCTTATTTTTAAGCCCGGCTTAAGTTTATATTATATATAAGTCTCGTTTTTAAATATCTTTTATAATATTATTATTTATAATTACTTAACTATTTACTAAATAATTATCTATTTTATTTATATATAATTATTTATTTTATTTTTATAAGTATCCGTTTTTATTTTATTATATAATTATAATTACGTAACTTATTTATAGTTTTTTTATTTTGAGAGGAGTTACCCCGAGTTTATACTCTTATATATATAATATAATAGCTGCTATAGGTCCTATAGGGCAGGCCCTAGCTTAATTATACGTATTAGGTCGTAATAATAAGACTCTAAGTTAAGCTACGTTTTTAAGCTCTATAATATTATTAGCTAAAATTATAAAAGGTGCGCGCTAAGTAGGATAAAATAAACTTACTCTAACTTTTTAATAAAACAGTTCTAATCGTCTCTAAATAGCTCGTCCTACTTATTAATAAAAAAATCGTAATTACTATTCGGTAAATAATATTCTTATATAAACTAAGCGAGCTTAACATCGTTTATAATAACTATATTACCTATAAATACTCTCATTGTTTCCGCTTTTATAAAAGTTATATCGTCGTTAATTATAAATAAAATATATAATTTTTAAATACAAAATAAATAAAAATAAGGGGTTAGATAACTAAGTTTATATTAATGCGGCATATAGCTTATAAAACCTTAAGCAGTAAAATAAAAAACTAAGAAGTAGGGTAAGCATAGCATATATTAATATATTAAGTATTAAGGACTATAATAATAAAAAGATTTAGTTATACCCTACGTAAAAGTTACTAAAAACTATATAAGCTATTTAAGTTTAACGGCCTATTACTAACGTTTAGTAAAGTATGCGGAGTAGTAGATTTATTAAATATTATATTATTATTTTTAGTTAGAAGTTAATACCTTATTAAACCTATTTATTTTAATTTATAAACTATTACTACTTCTTATTTTTAAATAAGTACTCTTCGCCACGCCCCTTTTTACTTTAGTATTATATAAAATAGAATACGTAGATATTATTACCTTTATCTACTTTTATAGAACCGGGACTATTAGTATAAGGGTATTAAGGGTAATTAAAATAAATACCCGTTGCGTACCTCCCCAGCTTACGCAACCTTTTTATATTAAGTATAAACGTCGTAACCGTTACGAGCAAAAATTAACTAAACTATTATAAGATCCTAGGGCTTTAGCGCTCGATTATTTTCTGTAGCTTTTAATCGGATTTAATAATATTTTGTAAATAGATAAAAGTTTTATTTTTAAATTAAATAAGAATTACGACGTTTAGTTACTTTAGTATTATAACTAACTAGTCGTAGTAAGTATATTAGTAGAGGTTAAGGCTACGATAACTAAATAAATAATATTATAGTTATAAATAGCTTCTTCAAAGCTATATTTATAAATTATAAAATAAGTAGGCTTTAGTAATTAATTATAATTTTTATTAAAAGGGTTCTTAATAAAAATGATTAAAAGCGATTATAAAATCTAATATTAAGTTAATTATTAAAGAAACTATAAAAGTCCGTTCTTAAGCCCGGCTTAAGCATATTATATATAAGTCTCGTTCTTAAATATATCTTTTATTCTTTAAATTATTCCTAATTAATTTAATTTAAAATAATTATTTAGTCCTAAGTCGTATTAAATTAATCTAATTTAAAATAATCCTTATTTTATTAATATATAATTTATTTTATAGTTTTTCTGTTTTATGACGAGTGGCCGTATCCCTATTTTACTTATATATATAGTATACCGTAGCTACTATAGCTAGCGGGCCGGCCTTTGGGTTAGTTATATATATTAGGTTATAACACCTACCTAGGTATTTTAAATATCTACTTTAGCTTAATATTTAATAAATTTAACCGCCCTATTATTAAAGACCTAAACTCTCTTAAAAACACTTAAGTTATTTATAATAGTAATAGCGAGGGCGTCCAAAGAGATTTTTATTAAATCGTTAGCAGTCACAATATTATTAAAAAGTAAATTTGTTTACTTCATTATTTACCTTATTCCTTATATTACGTAAGCATATAATATATTATATTAATTTATATTTATTATAGATT